ACAAAGCTCTCAACAACCTAGCTCCATCTTATATTACAGATCTTATTGTTCCATATTTTCTTAACAGAGCTCTCAGGCTGCAGGTTTACTTGTGGTTCCTAGAGTTTCCAAAAACAGAATGGGAGGCAGAGCTTTCAGTTTTCAGCTCCTTTCTTGTGGAACCAACTTCCAATTTCTGTCCATGAGGCTGACACATTGTCCAGTTTTAAAACGGGGCTTAAGACTTTCCTTTTTTTGCTAAATCCTTATGTTTGGCTTGGGTTTTTGATCTGTCCCTTAGTTATGCTGCTATAGGCTTAGACTGCTGGAGGACAAACTGACCAAATGTTTTCACAATACTACTGTCTTTACTTACTCTGCTCAACCTGTCCTGTCCTGGTTCTGCTGGAAGTTTCTTCCATTTAAAAGGGAGTTTGTTCTTTCCACTGTTGCCACTGTGCATGCTCAGGATGGGAGACTGCGACGAAGTGAAGATTCAACGTGTCTACTGCTTCCTTAGATAAAGAACTTTACTAATTGGCTTTCATGTGTGTGAACGTCCCTGTAAAGTGCCCTGAGACAACTTTGCTGTGATTTGGCACTATATAAATAAACTGAATTGAAATTGAATTGAATATATACATTATATATATATACTTTGTATATATATATATATATATATATGATGAGGAAAACATCTCATTCCTTTGCATAGACTTAAACTTACACTGCATCCTTCCTACAGGGGGCACATAGGCTGCTTCAGCTTTCCTGTAATGTTCCTGTGTCTAGTTATTTATAAATGTGGATGTCTTGGCCGTTAACGCATCAATACAGCCAGAATCAAACTCCCTTTTTCCAACTAGGGTCATTAAAATAGCTGTCTACGACAAGTAAGATATTGATTACTCCTAGACTTCCAACTTTAAATGATTCAAAAGATTGTTTTTAATGGGTTTTAACTTTTGACCAATAGTATGCTGTTTAATGATTGACCACATGAAACAAGGTGAGCAAGGCAAAAGTATCAGAGGTAGTGTGACATGTGTAGCAGCAATAAATCACGGGAGTCATCACCTCTCTGAGCCTGAGGTGTTTGCAAATGCACATTGAGTGCAACACAGGTCATCTGAGCAGCAGCTTCAGAATCTGTTGTGTTGGTTGTATGCATCCTCAGGTGTGCATTATGTTTCATTTGTGGTAAAAGTTAACTGCATTTAATGTGCTAAAAACAATAAAGTCATTTTGGATCGGATAAAAGAGCTCAACCCCAATCTTGACCCTAAACCATCAACTTCTCATGCTTGGTTACCTCATTCAAGTGAAAATCCTTGCAGGTGTGGCACATATAGGCCTTCTTTTTGTCTGGAAGCCCGAGGTCGATGCCTGTGCACGCGCATGCACGCGCACATATGACTCATCTCATCCTTACCAAAGCACTTTGTCAGAGGCGTCCATTCACGTTCCACCAAGGCAGGGACGCGCAGACTCAATCTGGGCTTGGAGCGACGCACTTGTAGTGACGGCGGCTATATAAGTCCCATTCAGCTTCTCCTCTTTAAGTAACTATATACGTGTTTCTGCAAAGAAGTGGAGGGCGGCATCTCACCGACTACCTGGCAACCTACACGGCTGTAGGCTACTGGACTACCTGCACGGAAGGTATGAAAAGCTACGCTGGTGTGTGTGAGTTTTATTATTGTTTCTGCTCCATTTGTTTGGTCAAAATGTAATTCTTATTCAAATCAAATTTGTCTTGGGATATTCTTAACCTTAAGAGAAACACATTGGCAATTTACCAGATACATTTCTGTCCTTGTTAACATTTTTCTTCCCTTTGTAAATTTTCACATCGATTAAAGGCTGTAATGCATCAACTTTTACACTCTAATCCGACTTTACGCGCAGATATTCCTTAATTTGCTCCATCACTTGACTTTATAGTATCATTATTAAAAATGGGCAATCATTCACAAAATAATCATATTTTTAACACTTAAAATAGATTATAAATCTGTGCTGCTGCACAGCTTGTTTGACGCTGCGTAAAAGTCTCTTTACGCGGCGCATTTGGCACACAGAAAAAACTAACACTGACCAGAAACGTTTCTTTTCATTTCCTCCCCCCTTTCTCAGATTCCAGTTGATATCCTGACATGAAGCTCAATTTATCAGGAACCACCGTGATTCTGCTTGTTGCCTTCTTCCCGCGCTACGAATGTCGGGCTATTGAGAGCCCAGGCGGCACCCTGCGCGTTCCAGCTCTCCAAACCCAAAACTCCCAGCAGCATCGTCAGCAACAGTCTGGTCCCATTCTGGAGCGCCTGGGAGAGGAGTATTTCATCCGACTGGGAAACGGGGACTCGAACTCTTTCCCATCCTTGTACTCCGGCGCGTCACCGTCGCTCTTCGACAGAGCCTTGCAGCTCCAGCTGACGCGGCGCCTCTTGCAGGGGAAAGTTGGGAACATCCGGGCGCTCATAAGCGGCTTAGCGGATCGCGACGACGAGTCCATGGAGAGGGGAAGGCGGTCCGAGGACCCACCGATCTCCCTGGACCTGACCTTCCACCTGCTGCGGGAGATGATGGAGATGTCCAAGGCGGAGCAGCTGGCCCAGCAGGCGCAGAACAACAGAAGAATGATGGAGCTGTTTGGGAAATGAAAACCTCTTTCCAGCCCCGCCAAAGATCTCATTTCCCTTTATTCTTTCTCTTTTATTTTTGTTCTGCATTTATAGCACACACACACACAAAAACCTATGAGCAAATATAGTGCTGCTTTTTTCACTTTATTATTTATAGCTTTAACCTGAAATCATGGAACACAAATGCTCCGACTGTCATTTTAATGTTGGTGTCAAATTTGTCGAGTTCTTCATGTTTCAGGCTGCACATTTTTGTTAAAACAACAAAAACTGGTATTTTTGTTTCCAACTCTATGACTCACTGTATTTATGATATTTATGTTTGTTAATAAACTTATGTGCAAACAGAAAAATTCTGTTGTGCAACAGGATGTCTTATATCTATTTTTTTTTAAATAAAACAAATAAAAGCAATGCTTACACTTCTTTGTCAACATCCTTACATATAAAAACCTCAAAAGAACTGCTAATCTAATTAGAATACACTCAGTAAGTTTCTTGTTTGATGCATTTATAATCCTAAAAATAAAAATAGGCAAACATGGTTTACGCTATTTAGCCACAAATACACGTATCAATAAAAGTCTGCAGAAATTGTCAACTTTTGTGGTGACAGCTCATATTTTTGGCAAAGAAACACATGCCATATTTGCATTAGATGCAAAGCAGCGCTCCGGCTGTCAGGTAACTGCAGGTTGATTCATCCTCATTATAACAAGAGGCGTCTCAACGATGCAACACTAACAAAGAGTGTGAAAGAATCTGCGTGTTGATCGTTGACCTACAGAGTCATTCTGCAGGAGCTGCGTGGAGTGAGTCATCCTCGTCTGTAAGAGCTCAGCACCGCACTGGGTCCGTTTACAGAGCATCCAGCTCACTGTGTGATGCTGAGCCACGATTAAATGAAAGTCAGGGATGAACTATGAAGTTCTAGCAACTGGTAAAAGTGTCTGGGTAATGATTCCAGCTGGAATAAGTGACAAAGAAATAACTAAGTTCTTGAGAAAATGTGTACAGCATGCGTTAAAACCACTTTTAATGACACATAATATAAAGAATATGTCTTAAAGTGGAAAAAAAAATATCTGCTGGAAAATTTAAAAATGTCAGAGTGATCTTTTCTTCGTGCTGCACTCATAAAGTTAGGTCACGGAGAACACGATCGTGACAAAAAGTCTGAATGTTATGCCACCTGATGATTCTGGTTCTGGAAACGACCAATAGATGTGCTGTCATTAATTATGTCCAAAATGAAAAAAGGACAAATAAAAAAACATGAATATTAAAGCAGATAAAAGGAAATGAGATCAGTCAGAGTGGACGATGGGCACTATGGTTGTCTTTCTTTAGATCTGCCCTCCTCGGCTCGGGCGTTTCCTTTAGGCACAGTTCTCCCAGTCTGGGTAAAAATGTATCATCAAGGAGCAACAGTTCCCCTTTTTTTGATCAAGGTGTTGTCTGAGCTGGAGGATGGCGCCTAAGTCTGCTGGGGGGCAGAAACAACAGCACCTGTAGACACAATCTGAGCCTCTTCTTTCTCCTCATGGCCTGCTTCTGCATCCTCTTCCTCGTCGTCCTCGTCATCTGTTAAAGAAGGAAGTCACAAGTGAATAAACGTTAGAAAGTGAGCCACCACGAACCGTCGCTGTCCTTTTACCTCGGATGAAATCGATGCTGCGCAGGGCCTTGCGTTCCTTTCTGCAGTCGACTTTGTAATGATCCATTTTCTCATATCCTCTCTCAACTTTATCAAGATGTGCCGTATTGGACGCATCTGCAATCCTGAGTGCACGATGAGGAAAGATTGCACATTCATAACGGGCCAAATCCAGCCTCGTGCGTTTAAGTTAAACTAATGTATTTATATAGCCGTGACATTCAGCACATTTAGCGAGTCGTTTTAGGACGCCGCAGCACAAGGGCGCAACATTACACAGAATTAGTTTTCACGTCGGGCGTGACGTTGTTGCAACAGGGCTGTGACTTAACGTGTCGGAGCAAATGCAAATCTGTCATTCATTAAAAAAAACAAAAAAAAAAACAGCAGAGAGAAGTCTCTAAAACTATTAAAGGGCACAAAAAGAATATGATTTAAGCTTAGAGATAAACATGTACTCACTTTTTAAGTAGAGGTGTTGTGCTCTGAAAGAGACAAGGAAAAAAATGGTTATTAAAGATGTTTAGCTGCACGTGAAAGTTGCAAACTCTGTTCCTGACCTGAAGGAACAAAGCCATCTCTGGCTCCTCCATCGTCTGAATCCCCATCTCCACTATCTTGCAGCCCTCCTCGAGGTGGTCGCTGTATTTCTTCGTCAGACCTCGGATGTAGTTCACCTTCTCTTCCTGCTCGGCTGTCACTTTCTGACTCATCTCCCTCTTCTTCCCTTCCAGGACAGAGTACAGCTGGTCGAATTTCTCACACACCAGAGTTTTCTGCCTCCGACCATTCTCCTGTGCACGTAAACGGATAATACGGTGAGGAAGGAATGCATTTAAAGGTGACAGTGTAGATTGGAGATTTTGAATAAAACAATAAACTGAAGCTCATTCTACATGTTCATTCTGAGTGACGCCACTAGTTTGGACACATGGGGCGCTGGACCCAGTCCATCCTTTCTCTGCACTACGTCCAGCACACAAGCCAAAAAAAAGCTGCCTGTTCTCCCATCCCATCATTTTCGCTGCTTATTTCATTGTCAGTGCACCAGGGGCGGAGCAAGAATCAGGTGTTTGTGGAAGGAACACAGAAAATAAGTAAAGGGGACAGAACACGGTGGCACCAAAACACCAATTTTCCTTTCTTTCCTTTTGTGTAACCCTCCCTCAGGGAGACACTGAAAAAAGCAGAGAGAGTGGCCGTGATGAGGACACATTAAAGCAGCTTGTACTGTTTGTCTCTACAGGTAAGCGGGTGGATGCACAGACTGAGGCTTGCTGTAAGAGAGCAGGCGCTGCAGCAGTCGGACTCTGACCTCTACGGCTCGACAGGCTTCCTCTAGCTGACTGATGATGCCTTGAATCCGGTCGTTGTTACCAACCATCATGGCAATCCCGTCACTGAGCTCCGTCTAGCAACAGAAACATGACTTTGACTATTAAAGGAAAAGTTCAGATGTTTTGAAGCATGGATCTGTGGAAAGGTGGTGATAGCTCTTTGAATGACCCTGAGTAATGGCTATAGACCAAAGCAGGTTGCTGCCATCTTGAAACAACTCTCACCTCAGAGAGGGTATTCCAACGTTGTTTTTTTCTGGTTGACAATCGGTCTCTAACTAAAACCTGGTTTATACAAGAACTCGGTTCTTATTGTTGCAGTCGCGTGAGGAAAGTTACATAATTTGGAACTTGAAGTCTCTGCAAAAACACGTTCTGTGCAATGGTTTCAGGCAGATCGTTTTTTTGCAGCGGTACGTGCCAAATCTTTTAAGGTTGATCTGATTTTCGTGGGCGTTTCTGCAAAAAAGACAAAAACCACAATGCTCTCATTTCGCCTCTACTGCTCCGCTGAGGAGCAGAGCCATTGTTACGACTGTTCTGTTGGGGCTTCTCTTTAATTAACAACTCCTGCATCATCAGTTGGAAAAAACAAAACCAAAAAAACCTCCATGTATAAGGTGAAGGTGAATGTCTCATGAAGCAGTCTTTAGACAAGCTGATTCTTATTCATGCAGCTTCATGGTTACTTCAGTGTAAAAACGTGCCATAATAATGAATAATAATAGTAATTATACAAATAATAATAGATTTCCCTGTAAGTGTGTATTGCAAAATTTACTCCCATGTATTAGTTAAAAACAGTGTTTAAATGAATTGATATGTGATTTTTACAGAGGTACACTTGGTAGAGCGTCGACTCTCATGGCTGCCGAATTAATTCCTGGCCAAGGACCTTTCTTGATGGACGCTTGTGCAAGTGTGGGTTTTTTCCAGGAACATTAGTCCCTCGTTTATTGCGGTAGTTAAAACTGTGACGTAATAGTACAAGTAGTAAGTAATGTACATATACAGTATATATATTTAAAACCCTTCCCACTGTCTTGCAATATTCTAAACAATGTTTTAAAACTTTAAACGCTCTAAAAGAGCACAGAATGTCATGATCTCCACTCTCTCTGCCACCTGCCAGTGCTCTCGGCCACGCCCACTTCTCCACTGCAGAGCGGAGATGGACATGGTGCAGGAGGGAGCTTCTCCCTGCACATGTGGGCTACACACAGGTGCAGCAGGTGCTAATATAATTTAAAATTATTTATTTTAAAAAAATTTTTAAATCCATGCCGATGAGAAGGACCTGTCCACTTCTCACACTGTGACTGCTGGACATGGACACCAGCGACTCGGAAAAGAAGTAGCGTAGTAGTAGTAGTAGTAAAGATAATGAATGAAAGGACGTTTCTTTAAAATGCCACCAACCTTCTTTGGTCTTTGTGTCTGGGCTCAACAGTCCAGTCAGATATTAATTGTTCAAACCTGACCACAGATTCCTCCTTCAAAAGACTTGATTGGTAAAGAAATACTATTTAGTCTGATGAGTAAAACCACTGAGAGTATTTCAGGCCTCACCTTCTTGGTCTGGTAGATGCTGCTGATGGGCGCCACCTCACAGTCTTTGTGGGCCCCGAACACTTTACACATGGAGCATGTGGGCACACCGTGCGTTACACAAAAAATGTTGATCTTTTCGTCCTCGTGAACGTCGCACATGGGCATTTCCTCTTTTCTCTCTGGCGCAGGCTTGCTGCTGCTGAAGACACACAGATACCTTCAGTCATCTCGCTGCACTCTGATGTGACGTGCGGCTCCAGTTTGATAATGTCACACTCACTCACTTCATTGATAATCCATCGGTCTTTGGTTGCCATACACTGTCAGCAAGGTAATCAATAGCACGGTGTTGGTTTGCATACAGGTGGGTGTAAGTGATGACTGTATTTAGTTGCCATATTGCACAATTTTATTATTGAAGCCTAAATGTGTCTTTTAATTGTCAGTAAAATACCCTTTTTGGATATCTAAATTAAAGTGGAAAAACGTACGCATATAGCGGAGAGCCTTCATTAAACGCATGAGTTGAAGTGTTGTGGATTTTATATCAAACAAGCCTTTTGGCTGTTTGGTCATCCACGAGATAAATCATCCGTGTACATGACTACAAGAAACGTCCTGTAATCCACTCCAGCAACATGACTCAGGAGCCACAGGCGCTCAGACCTAAGCGCTACACTTTCTGCATCACTCTCCATCCTCTCTCACATTTACTATCTCTGCGTTCTGCCCCTAAGTATGACTCTGACTAATACATGTAGCCCCTTGATGGATTTGGTGGAATTAATAATGACCCTTTTTATTGCATGCTTGTTTCACCTGCTGGATTCCTGTTTGAACATGTCAATGATGTTCTCAACCAGCAGGTTCCTCTGCAGGCCGTAGACACCGTGCCTGTCCAGGACCACTTCATGTCTGCAGGATGGGCATCGGAAGCGGCCGCCCGACGTCACCGAGCTACTTCTTGTCGGAAGGTACGGGTTTGAAGCCTGCGAAGCAACAACTGAAACTCAAACTTGGTGTTTGGGCTTTGCTGTAAATGATAAATTAATCTCTGCTGCATAAATTAATGAAACTGCTTTTACTCAGCAGTTATGAAATGATAATCCAGTGGATTATTAGTCCTTAAAACAAAAATAGAACAGCACTAAATTGGTTCACACTGTCCTACAGGTGAGTACATCCAGGGAAATAGGACTAAGGCACCAAATTCAAGTTGTATAAGCTTGTATCACCTGCTGCTATGAAAGGTAGGCAATCATTAAAGATGTCCGGGTCTGTCTGTCTTTATGTTAGCAAAATATCTTTCCAAAAAACTGCATGGGTTTTAGTGAAACGCTTATAAAACAAAAATGTTTGCACATCAGGCATAGCAGCAGGTAAGGTGTGCCATCCTTCAAGGAATGCTAATTTAATTTAACTGTGCTTTACTTGTAATTCATTACACTGAGATTGTTCTAACATATTTAGATTATTATTAGTTATGACACAAAGACTTCAGTAACTTTTTCAACTCAAAAATCAGTCTAACTGTGACTGTTCAGCTCTAGAAATAAAACAACATACAAACATGTTATTGACAGTTATCAAAAATGCTAATAAATAACAGTTTGAGGTTATAAATACGCCCATTACAGCAAACGTTTGTGGAATTGAATAGCTTCCTTACCTGGAAAACATCATTGGCACACTTTCTGCAAAGGTTGTGCTGGCAGGGTAAGATAACAACGGGCTTGGTAAACATTTCCAGGCATATGGGACAAATCAGCTGCTTCTCCAAGTTCTCCATGGCACTAAATAAATGGATAAAACCCTCACCAAAACTGATTTACACCGGATCTGTATTAAGAAAAGTTCAGTAAATTCAGTTTCAGGGAGCAATACACAGTACACCCAAAGTCACAAGGTAAGGGGTAGGCCGAGGAGTGTACCCAGCTGGTGTCAGGTCTCTTTTTTTAGCAGCTACTGCTGTCAAGTGTTGCCTTTTTTACCTTGCCCTTATTTGAAACAGACCAGGGCGTCACTGAACAGCTGCCTTTCAGCTTCTAAACTACAATTTATGCCCTATAGGGGGTGATAAATCACAAAAAAAACACTTCTAATGTTAAGGAAACTTTACATCCTGTTCAGGATTTATGATACTTTACATCTGCTTTATTTTCATTGTGACTAAGTTTAGTCAAAATGTTACCAAAACATTATATAAATTAATATTTAACATCATATATTATGTGGTAAATATGGGTGTCACAGATTTTTGTGCTTTCCTTTCTCTTATTTATTCAACCTTTAAAGAATTTTGGGAGCATATAGATGATGCCTTGGCTGAATGCAGAGGTTGGCACCCTGCTGGAAGCCAGGAACACTGCCTTCAGGTCTGGAAACTCACAGGATTTGAGAAAGACAAGTAAAGAGCTGGTTGCTGGTATTAAGAGGGCCAAGGCCACATATGCACAGAAGATCCAGGGTCGAATTCACCTCACAAGACCCACGGATCATGTGGAGGGGCATAAAATGTATAAAAGATTATAAAGGAAGGAGTGAACAATGCCCTAGAGACCCATCTCTGCCTGATGACAACAAGTTCTATGCATGCTTCAAAGACCTGAACAGACCACCCAGCACCAGACTCACCTCACCACTGGATGAAGAGCTTCTCAGTGTGACCCCAGCAGAAGTAAGGAGTACCTTCAGGAGGATTAATCCTCACAAAGCAACCGGCCCAGACAACATCCCCGGGAAGGTGTTGAAAGAATGTGCCGATCAGCTCTGCGAGGTGCATCTATAACATCTTTAACACCTCACTTACCCTGGAGACAGTTCCCACCTGCCTGGAGACTGCAACCATCATCTCAGTCCCAAAGAGTTCCACAGTGTCTGGTCTGAATGACTACCGGCCAGTAGCCCTCACCCCGATAGTTGCTAAATGCTTCGAAGAACTGGTCATGACTCACATTAAGACAGCCATCAATGTCAACGAGGACCCTCACCAGTATACATACCGCAAGAATTAATCTACAGAAGATGCCATCTCCTCTGTGGTCCACACTGCTCTCATCCACCTGGAGCAGAAGGACTCCTACATCTGGTCTTTGTGGATTTCACGTCTGCCTTCAACACCATGATCCCCCAAACCTTGATGTACAAACTACTCGGTACTCACACTAGAACTAAGCCCCTTCTTTTGCAACTGGGTCCTAGACTTCTTAACAAACAGACCACAGTCAGTGAGGATCCACAACTTTTTCTCCTCCACCATAACCCTCAGCACTGGCTCTCCTCAGGGATGTGTGCTGAGCCCTCTCCTGTTCACTCTGCTCACGTATGATTGTGCACTTACCCATCCAGGCTGTCATATTGTAAAGTTTGCAGATGATACAGTGGTGGTGTGATGCATCACAAACAAGGATGAGTCCAGCTACAGGCAGGAGGTGGAACACCTGAAGAGTTGGTGGAAGGAAAATAAACTTCACATCAATGTGAAGGCTAAGGAGATGGTCGTGGACTTCAGAAGGAACAAACGTACCTCCCCCACCCCCCCTCCCCCAAACATAGGTGACTCTGCAGCAAAAGTTGTCTCCAGCTACAAGTACTTGGGTGTGCACCTGAATGACAGCCTCAGCTGTGGCAACAACACCACCAGCTTGATCAAGAAAGCTCATCAGAGACTCTACTTCCTCAGGCGGCTGAGACGAGCTGGTCTGGGAAGCTCAGTCCTCACCTCCTTCTACAGGTGTGCAGTGGAGAGCATCCTGTGCTCCAGCATCAACATGTGGCATGGAGGCTGCACAGCTGCAGAAAGAAAAGCTTGGATTAACAAAAGGGTCTTATAGCGCCCTCTGGTGCTTTTTCCATGCAATAACATTCATTTCAGTTTAACAGCACAACACAACATTTTCCCTTTCCTCTGAAGCAATTACTTGTACAGCATGTAACAAATGCATTTGTTGGTTTAGTGCTTACTTGGCTGTAACCTAAATGTTTAAGGAGTAAACATTTTTATTAATTACGTTTTGTTAAAAGTTACAAATGTTGTCTTTGGTGCCTGTTTGTTTTCCAACTATATTAGTGTGTGTGAATGACAGGGATCAATTTAAAACACTTTGTAGAATGATGGGGCAAGAAGTGCATGCCTGCTGAGAATTGCATGTCGCGTTGCCAAAAAAATGCATCCCCTGCTAACTTGGAGAAATAAAGAGTTAAGAATGATGTAACTTGTTCTACATTATTATATATGTCCTCTGAGCTAATGGCATGAGTTTTCATATCATTAGGACAATATTTGGGGAAAATAGACAGGGGATGCAGATATCAGCAAGCTCAGTATTTGCTTTGCCAAAAAATGCATCCCCTCCTCAAAGGTAAGGGTAAGGATGATATCAATTTTTTTACATAATGATACATGCCCTTTGTGCTATCACGTTGTAATATAATTAACTTGCAGCTGCATGATGATAAAAAGCTTGCAGAATTGTTCAACATTTTAAAGATTAGGGTTAGATTAGAAAGGTTTTGAAAGAACGTTTAATTTATGTATTATTTATTAGTTTTTAGAACTGCTGATAATTAAAACATTGGACCGTTTTTTATTTCAACTGAAACTCATATATGAAATTCACAGATAATAAATAAACATCTTGGCAGGCATGCGTTTCTTGGCATAACACCAGCAGATCTGCCACATTCAGTATGGCGGACGCTCTGACGTAACGCTGCAATCCCGCTCAACGATGCATCTACGTGTCTATGAACGTAACAGTTTGAACAGATTAGTGCTGCGTACAACGAAATTCAAATAAAGTAATGTTGTTTTTTTTTCTTTTTTGTCTGAGCGACATTATGTTATATGATACTAGTATACGTTACATGTAGTTTCACAAAAAGTAGTATTCTGGAGAATATGGGCATCGAACCCGCTACCTCCCGCGTACGCCAGCAGCATCATTTTTTTTTTTATACAAGTTAGTCTCATTGAGCCACGAAATCTCACTTACAAGAAATTCAAACAAAGAACACAGATGAAGTACAGATGACAATAGACAAAACGCTTGGAAAAAGTAAATAGAATAAATTACATAAAAACGTAACAACAGCTCCAGCACGTTTTTTTAAAGTACATCAATAATGTGTTTCATTGTTAAAACCACAAGTTAGTTTCTTATTTACGCTCAGCTGTAGTATATTGAATATTTTCATTCATAACAATAAAATAAAGAACAGCCCTTTGAGTCCTTTTATGGATAAGTCATGTTTTTCGATATATCTAGGTTTCCTTACAAGTACAAAACATAATTCCGGGTATGGTATTTAGTTAAGTTTACGTAATGCGACGAGCTGACGTATCTCCCTTCGATAGCTCAGTTGGTAGAGCGGAGGACTGTAGCGGTTACGTAGAAATCCTTAGGTCGCTGGTTCGAATCCGGCTCGAAGGAGAGGGTAACTTTTTACTTAATTTAAATTTCTTGTTCTTGTGTCATTTGTAAAATATATATTTTATATATCGGAAAAAAAACTTTTTGACAATTCCAAGCAATGTTTATGTCAAACTTTAGCTTTATACACATAATCTGCATGCTCTGTCCACCTGCTTCTTCCTTTTTGGGTGGCGGGTGTCCAGCAGGCCCTGTGCGAAAGTTTTAAATATAAAATGACCCCACATGCAAGCATTATGCTGGAACTTCAGCTTACTTGTAATAGTTTTGTGTCTGATTTGCTCACTACTTTAGATAAAAGCAAACATTCTAATTTGCTTTGACCGTAAAATGGCCTATCTGTGCTGCAGACATACTGATGATGCCTCAGCAAAGTTAATTACCAGATGTGTGCAGAATTGTATCAAGTTTCAAATATAACGGTTTTTTGGTGTTGTGTTGGGAAATTAATCTGAATTTTCCTACAGAACTACTTGAGTCCATGCATTTGTGTTTTTATTTAATAAGACATAAACTCATCTGTGCATATGTCGTTTTCCTCTGACTGATAAAACATGACATCTGCATCTTGCACCTCTGTTCCTTTTTTAGTAAGGCCACATGGAAATGCATGAAGTGCTTTTCACACAGGCACATCGGAGTCAGTGAGTCATGTTTAAATGTTTTAGACAGATGTTGTTTCTGAAAATAATGAACGTCTCTCTCATTTGTCGCCCTTTGTTTGCATGAATCCATCTGGGGACACCAGACAGCAGGTGTGGAACCACAGCTTCAAGCAAGTTGGAGCTTTTAATGTGAGGAAACTTTAAAATCCCCTATTTGTATATCCAGCTTTTAAGCATAAAGTTCTGTAAATCGATGAAAAATGTATTTTTCCTGTTTGTCATTAATGCGTGTGTGTTTCGCTCATCTCTTCTGTTCAAGTGCTGATTTTTTGTGTGTGCATGCATTTTATGATGCTGTGGGAACGCCAGTTTATTCATTTGTAGCCATTAATCTTTAAAAAGCCTGAACTTGTGTAATTACACATTCATTAATGAGCTGCTCACCATTTAGCTGACGCCTAAAAGTGAATTCAGATGAGATCAATTAAGGAGATGTTCTGAGTTGTGTGTGTTTTTTGTGACTAAAGTGAATTCATAATTTTAAAGCCATTACCGTCTGACTCATAATATTGCAGCGCCTGCTGGCAAAAATCCAACAAAGATTGACAAATTAAGCGCGGTGTGGAGATTTCTGAAAAGATGAAAGGCCACTATGAATGCCAGACGTTGTTGCCTTTGAAGCCAAAAGATGCCGGTTTAAAAAGCGCAGTGTGAAACTTCTTGCTCAGCGGTAATTCGAGTACGTACAGTAAAAGGGTCTGCAGGCACTTCCAACATACACAAGAGGAGGTTTACTCACATGCAACAAGACTCAAACAGCTCGACAAGCCCACCA